CTTTTGAGGATTCTGTTTTCTGTTGGAAGTAGTTGAGTTTCTAAGAAAAAAAATGGGTCTTTGAAAAAAGCTTCTTTGGTTTTCCTTAGAGAAAAGCATACCATTTCCAATACAACCAGCAAAAAGGTGGACTGGAGGAGGGGATCAAGTGGTAAAGTGACAGAGTTCAAACCCTAGAACCAGCAAAAACAACAACAAAGAATGTCTAACTGAGTTGACCAATAAGTTGATAAGAGCAGTCACTAATTTGGAAAGAGACTGGACCCAGGGTGTTCCAGAAGGTAGCTCCAACCTAGAGATATGGTAAAAAAAAAACACACACACACACAAAAAAAACAAAAACAAAAAAACCCCAAAAACCACCTCTCAAGATGATTGGATCATTGCTTGAAACATCTCTCAAGAGAGGTCTGTCAGGGAGAGAGGGGAGGGAAGAGGAAGACATATATATAGCTATATAGATAGATATTTGGATATATATGTATATATATAATCCCTAAAAAAAAGATCATTTTAAAAGAAGAGCTACTGGATTAAAAACCAACCTGGGCTAGGTGGCTCATGCTTGTAATCTTCCTGTAATTACTCAGGAGGATGAGTTCTGACGATCCCAGTTTGAAGTCAGCCCTGGCAGAAAAGTCCATGAGACTCTTATGTCCAATTAACCACCAGAAAACTGGAGTGGCACTGTGGCTCAAAGTGGTAGAGCACTCGCCTTGAGCCAAAAGAGCTCAGGGACAGTGCCCAGGCCTTGACGTCAAGCCCCATGACTGACAGAACAAAACAAAACCAAAAAACCCACCACCAACAAAAACACTCAGAAACAAAAGACAAAACAGCAAAAACCCAAGCTGGATGGGGAGTGTCAGCCATGTCTCCAAGGAATGAAGTTCAGAAAAGCACCCCAGTGGACAAACAAACACAATGAATAAAACTCAACGCCATTACTCCAGAAGAATTATTAAAAAAAAAAAAGAACCCAGTAAAGAAAATCTTCGTGCATTTAAAATTGCAGTTTTAGACAGGCACCAGTGGCTCACACCTGTAATGTTAGCCACTCAGGAGGCTGAGATCTGAGGATTGTGGTTCAATGTCAGGAAAATCTGGAGACTTTTATGTCCAATTAACCACCAGAAGACCAGAAGTGGAGCTGTGGTAGAGCGCTAGCCTTGAGCAAAAGAACTCAGGTATGGTGCCCAGACTCTGAGTTATAACTCCACAGCTGACCAAAAGACAAAAACAAACAAACAAAAAACAACAACAAAACCCAGCGTGATTTTGTTATTATTGTTATTTATTTATGTTTGGTTGGCCGTAGGGCTTGAACTCTGGGCCAGAGCGCTGTCCCTCAGCTCTTCAGCTCAAGGTTAGCTCTCTACCACTTGAGCTATTGAGCTACAGTGCCACTTCAGGTTTTCTGGTGGTTTATTGGAGATAAGACTTTCCTGCCCCAGCTGGTTTTGAACCGCGATCCTCAGATCTCAGCCTCTTTAGTAGCTAGGATTACAGGCATGAGCCACTGGAGCCCAGGTCTGTTATTATTGTTATTTTACCCTTATCCCTTTCCATGCATCCTTCTAGCACACTGCATAAATGAAAGAAACCCCAGAAAGGGGTTTAGTATCCAGAGCCTGCCTTTCTTGTGTTGCACTGCGTAAATGCGATTGTTTTCTTGCCCACTGGCTTCTAGAATTCAGACCCTGACAGAAGGATCTCAGCCACATCATCTCAGCTTGGCCTTCTTTCAGTTCTGAGCTGTAATCCTGCTTGACTTCCTAACAGTCCACATAGACAAATGGTTCCTTTGTTTGACTTGGCTTCAAAGGCTTGGCTTATTGTTCCATCAGTGCCAAACCCAAGCCAATCTCAGGACTTTTCCACACTCAGCACATGTCTGTGATGGTCCTTTTGGGTAGCATATGTCCCTTCAGATGGACCCTTGCTGGGCTAGAGGGAGAGGAAACTGCAGAGGAGACACCGCGGGGGACATTTCTGCTTCGGAGTTCAGTTTCAGAGACAGACTTCTGAGAGCAGCTCATCCATGCTTGCTCTTATTTCTTTGTTTGCTTATTTATTAATTAACTATATCCATTTATTCAGTGTCAGTATTGGGGCTTGAACTCAGGGCCTTGTGCTCTTAGTTGGCTTTTACTTATTTCATTTATTTCATTTTTATTATCTTTCAGTCATAGTACAGAGGGGTTTGATATCAACATGTCAGCTGATGAGTAAGTACAGTGCATTGTGACCAATGTCACCCCTTCCACAGGTTTGTGCTCTACCACCTGAGCCATGCCTCTGCTTGCAGCATTTTGATGCCTAAGTGAAGCTAAGAGACTCCTAGACTTTTTTTTGCCCAGTTGGCTTTGAACTACAATCCTCAGATCTCAGTCTCCTAAGGAGCTAGGATTATAGGCCTGAGCCACTCATGCCCGGTGCTCACTCTAATTCTTTCAAGTTGACTATTTCCCTTTACAGTGGCGTCTTTACAGTGGACTTTACTATAGAAGAAGCTGTTGTGAAGGAATCTAGTAGTGACCAATCACCAAAACCAATGGCCTCATTCCCATTTTCCTACTGAACTTCTATTTACTATCAGGTTTCTGGAAATGACCATGCCTTTGCCTCCATAAATCAGTAGTTCTCACCCAGAGGCAATTTTTGCTCCTATGACAATGTCTGGAGACGTTGTGGTTTGTCTCAAAGTGAAAAGCTTACCACTGGTACTTAGTGGGTTGAGGGAAGATGACAAGGCCCAGGGCAGCCCCCATCACAGGGAACAATTGGGTTCCAAATGTTAACATTACCGGGTCTGAGGAAGTAACTCTACAAGCTCTGGATGTTAATCCTGTGCATCCAGTTTGTCTTCTGTCTCCCTGATCACATCCATTGTTTCTCTTTCCGCTTCATGCCCCACTGTGTAGCTGCTAGAATTGTCTTGTAGTAGATTCCTCCTAGGCCCTCCCCTCCCACCCCTCAAGGCTCTCCGTCGGCATTCACACTTGCAAGCTCATACATTTTCCTTATTATTTAAAATTCTTCAGTGGCCTCCAGATGGCCCAAATGTAGACTCCACTTCCTGATCTTGGAATTCAGGCCCTTCTGGGACTGGGTATCTTACTCTACTTCCCACTAACTCTGCACTTCTGAGACACAGGTCTATTTCCAGTCACTTGGAGTGACCCTCCACACTTTTGTGCAGGCGGTTCCTCCAACCCAAGGCGTCTTCCTGGTGTATCTATGCACCACGCACGTCTCCTTCTTCCTGCTTAAAACCTCTTTAATCCACACAGCCTTCTGTGATTGTGATGGCCCTGCCCTGTGGTCATCCTGCAGAACCATAAAGCAACAGAGTCTGCAGAAGTTTTGGAATGCATATGATTAAAGCATGATGAAACGTAGATGCTTGTTCTCGGGGTAGGATCAAGAGGATGCCTAGCCACAATGGGCACCGTGGCCTTTGCTAGCTGTCAGAGGAGGACCCGCACCCCCTCCCCCATCCCTGCTCGGTGAGATGAACTGTCACAAGGCCAGCCCACATCAAATGCTTACTTAACCCGTTCGGAAAGGCCAGCTGGGTGCTCATACTCCAATTGGGAGAAATGAGTAGATTGACAGTCTTGTTTTCAAAGACTGGAACTGGGGCTTGAACTTGGGGCTTGGACATTGTCTCTGAGCTTTTTTGCTCAGTGCTGGCACTCTACCACTTGAGCCACAGTGCTGCTTCTGGTTTTCTGGTGGTTAATTGGAGATAAGAGTCTCACAGGCGTTCCTGCCCAGGCTGGCTTTGAACCACAGTCCTTAGATCTCAGCCTCCTGAGTAGCTAGGATTATAGATGTGAGCCACCAGTACCCAGTTTAGACTGATAGTCTTTCTCAATTACTGTTTGGCTGTATGAAAATCTAGTACATTTAAAGCTTGCTAAATCAGCTTGGCTTGGGGGGTCTGTCCTAAGTTCCTAACCAATTGACGATACTCTAAGAATTAAGTGAGCCAATGAATGAATTTAACACACTGCCTGCTATCTGGCACATGCTCAGTACACATTAGCAATTGTTCATATAGGTCCCAGATTTAGCTGAAGATTATGTATTCAACTATTTTAATTCCCATATTTTTAGTATATCATATGTGAGTTGTATGAAATTTATATCCCTCTCCCCATCCAGTAGGAACTTGTGTGGACTGATACAAATGAGAAACTGAGGCAGGGAATCACAGATTACCACACTTGGATGGCTAATTTCTAACAAAGCCCTCTCCTGTCTCCAGCAGGTAATGTAATTTAGATCATTCTGCTTGCAAACAGCCCCATTTTAGAAGCTCCAGAAGCCAGAGTTAGTTAGACATTGCTCCTATTTAATAGGACTCAAGGAATTGGGTTATGATTTCCCTGCTTCGATAGCGACCAGTACTACAGGGCAGTATCTGGACTCTTGGCAGGGACGGGCTTCTCCTGAATCCTGCCTCGATTTCCCTTTCTTGCTGAGCTCATCTGCCCCTTGGAAAAAGTCTTTTCCTTCAAACACACATCAACACCCACTGGTGACTCAATGCTTGTAAATCCTAGCTACTTTGAGATCCGAGGATCCCTGTTCAAGGCCAGCCTGGCCCGGAAAACCCATGAGACTCTCATTTCCAATGAACCACCAAAAAGCTGGAAATGGAGTTGTGGTTCAAATGGTAGAGCTATAGCCTTGAGAGAGAGAGAGAGAGAGAGAGAGAGAGAGAGAGAGAGAGAGAGAGAGAGAAGGTAAGGGCAGCACACCCAGGCCCTGTACCTGCACAAACACACCCTCATGACAATGTTGGCAAGTAACTAAAAAAACAAAAACAAAAACATCCTATGAGGAAGCAAACCATATCCTCAGGGCTGCTGTCCTGAGGTCCACTTTGAAGTCCTGGTAACCCAGCTGGGTGCATTCCTTTATACTTCTCCTCTACTCTCCCCTGCCCTCCAGAGTTCTGACCAATCTCTCCATCCTTCATGTTGTGTAACACAGGGCTGTCACCTTGGTGGGTTTTGGTGTCTGATACCTTGACCAGAGAGAGACTTCTGGAATTGGGATCATTTATGGGATTTCACTAACATTCCTATCTCCATCCCACAGCCCCAGGGTACCATTCGCAGAATCTGCCACAGTGCCTGCCACCAGGCAAGGCCATTGGGAGACAGAGGAGAGAAAGGAGAGGGGCTTCGAAGCTGAAGGTAGCCTGGCCGGTTCAGTTTCATCGAGAGAGGCAAGCTTTGAGAGTGACTCCTCTGCCATGGAGTGGGGCCTTGCTCACGTGTTTTTATACAGTCACCCCAGCTTTTTGGCATGAAGGTAAGAGCCAGTCTGTGTGGACAGAAATGGATTCCTTCACATACAAGAGAATAAAATGCAAACACTGTCAATAATAGCTGGAAATTGCGCCCCCTGCAGGTCACTTTCTTCCCAGCTTTAGAATCCTGCCCAGGGGAAAATCCTTGTGGCGAAGGGAGGGAGGTATGGGATATGGCGGTAGGAAGCAGGCTCTGGAGTTGCTCACAACACTTTAAAAGACAAAGCAATGGGCCGCTATTAGATCAGTTACGTAGGTTATGGACAACACTTTCACAGAATGGATGAACATAGAAAATACCAAAGCAGCAGGGCACTGGTGGCTCAAGTCTGTAATCCTAGCTACTCAGGAGGCTAAGATCTGAGGATCCAGCCAGGGCAGGAAAGTTCATGAGACTCATCTCCAATTAACCACCAGAGAATTGACAGTGGAGCTATGGCTCTTAGTGATACAATGCTAACTTTGAGCAAAAAGCGCTCAAGGACAGCACCCAGGCCCTGAGTTCAAGCCTACAGCTGGGTTGGGGGGCCAGGAAGGGAGGGGAGGGAAGAGGGAGAAAATACCAAAGCAGCCAGGCACCTCACATCTCTAATCATAGCTACTCAGGAGATCTCATTTGAAAGCCAACCCAGGTAGGAAAGTTCCTGAGACTCATCTCCAATTAACTACCCCAAATCCAGAAATGGTGCTGTGCCTTGAAGTGGTAGAGCACTAGCCTTGAGCACAAAAGCTCAGGAACAGTGTCCACACACACACACACACACACACACACACACACACACACACACACACACACACACACAAATTGTGCCACTGACTTCTCCTGCCTATGAAGCCTGAGAAA